TGCGGCGTGAGAGCAGCAGAGGCTGCACGGGCCGGGGCTGACCCTGCGGCACCGTCCCGCAGAGCTAAAGCTGGGGGAAGCGGAGGAGCGGGCGTTCCGGACCCGCCACGGCATCCATGAGCAGGATCGGTCCCAGGACCGGCCGCAGGGGAAACAACGACAGCGCTCCGCCAGCGAGATGCTGTTTGTGTTTGGCTTTTTGGCTTTCAGGCTCAGGAACTGTGGGATGTTATGGAAATCTGCAAAAGTGCTAATCAGACAGCAAATTTCAAAGAGGGGAAGGAGGGGCTGGCAGGCAGGGACTAGAGATAAAATGGCAAACTTGGAAACCTCAAGCATTGTTCGGAAAACTCATCTGGAAACGAATCAAAACTCTCTTTGGACTTCGCTGGTTGGGAGAAAGGAAGTTTAACTAGAAGAGATCAGTGCTGATTCAGGACAAAAAAATACTTAAAAAAACACAGTCTGGGGCCTTTTTTCCTCCTATTGTGAACGTATTTTAATGAGACTTCATTTTCATTTTCGACTGAACTGTTACAGGCTCTTAAAGCTACCCAGGGCACTGAAACAGCTTTGCAGTAATGGAAAGCACAGTTCAGACTGGCATTACTTGAACTGTTTCACGCACGATGAGCGTGGGAGGGCTTGGTTTTTATAAGCTTGGGAAAAGGAAAAGGTTTAGAGTGCAGACTGGATTCACATGTTGCTGCCCTATTAACAAGGCTGACAAGTCATTAGAGATGTCGTCCCAGGAACACGTTACAGCCATCTCCAAAATGCCTTGGTGAGGCTGGGGTGGGAAAAGCACAGAAAACAGCTGCTTACCCCAAGTGCCTGCTAATTTTGGGATGATTATCTACTTGCATTCTGTGAAGAACTAAACGTCAGCTCCATCCCACATGCAAAATGTTGGGAAGCTTGGACCCAGAACTAAAAGCTGAATTCCAGGACTTTAATTTTCCCTTAACTCCCGGTCCTTTGATCCTGTTCGGAGCCAGGCACAACAGTACCGTGGTATGTCATGGGGAGGGCTTTTTTTCAGCATTTTCCACCAAAGCTGTAGCAGAAAGTAGAGATGTGGACCATTTTATCTACAATCCTCACTCACTTCTGCAGAAATAGAGGTCTGCATTGATTGCTCAAATGCTGCAGGTTTTCTCTGAACCCAGCCCCAAGCAGCAAGCCTCCTGCTAGCTCTTCATCACGTCTCCTGCACGCAGCGAGCCAAACCGCCCCACCAGCGCGGTGACTCCACTGCCTTCAGGTGCCCTCCACATGTCCAGACCACTAGTGACTGTGGCCTGCAGCTCCTTCCCAGCTGAAGACAGCTCCTTCGAATCATTTTCCCCAGAACACAAATGGATGGACTGTTAGGCAGAGCATTAATACGAAACAAATGTTTCGAGCATGTAGCGTTGACTTACAAGGGAAAATACAAGCACTTGGAATTTTTCCACTGCACAACGGCAGGGACCTCTGCAGCAGCTGTTTCGAATAGACGTTGTGATTAATGGGGATAATTCAGGAATGAAAACCAGACCCATCGTCACGCGTCTGACAGACCAGTGCTACAGGCAGGCGGGCAGCCTTTCTTTCTAACCAAGAAATGCCTCTCTGAAGGCAATGGAGTTTGATCTGGAGGAATGCCAGGCACATGGGAAGCGTTTGACTATCGCTAGTATTTAAATCGCGGCCCTGGGCTGCAACCAGCCGGTGTGTATGGAGGTGCCGTCCGTCTGACCGCAGCAGCTCCGTGCTCACTGCGTGGTGGGGAAGGTCCCAGCTCTGCTGACCCGGACTGAGACCCCTCATCCCTTCGTGCAGCTGAGCTCGTGTCCACCTGGGACAGTCAAAGGGCCCCTCCGGACCTTCTGGTCTCATCAGTTCTCTGCCTCCTCCGTATTTCAGCAGGCAGCACAGTTTCTCCTCTGATCAGGTCCCCTACCCTCACTGTGGAGCACGTGTGATGTGAAAGTCTCTTGTAAATCAACTTTTTACTGCACTCTAGCATGGACACCGTTCAGAAACGGGAAATAGGCTGCAGCAGAAAGTGCTGTGATGGCCCTCACGGCCACGGCTTCAGGCTGAGCACGTGAAGCAAGAAGGGGGCTGCAAAGGCAGCGTGCAGCGCGAGCCCCGC